GTTTTAGACCATCCGTTTTATCTATTAAGGTATTTCTTTATATTTTTCCTCAAATGCAAATTAATCGTGGCATTTTGAATAAAATTATTAAGAAATAATGTTTTCAAACTTGTAATAGTTATTTTCCGCAAACACACGCACTATAAATGAGTTTTTATTTTGATATTCTGAGGAATTATTTTTTTAGTTGAAGATATATTTAAACTATTAATTTTTTTTTAATGCTGAAAAAAATAAAGGAAATGTAGCAATTTACAGTTGTTCTCATAAAAATTAATATTTCTTGTGTTCTAGTGATTTATTGGAACAAAAAAAATGTTGAAATTTTGTAGGTATATACCAATGCGTTGCGGTAAATTCTGTCGGTGAAAAATGGGCTGCTGCCGAAATAATGCCAGATCGTTCGAAAGGAATTCCCCGTCCACCGCAAAATGTTCGATGTCGGCCGTACGACGAAAAAAGTATATGTCTAACTTGGGATAATCCTCCACATCTAACAGCCCAGGCATACAGTGTTAATTCTTATCTGGGAAGAGGTACGTGCGTTTGTAATTTATTGCACAATTAATCACATTAGCAACACGTCCGCGTGAATTTTTTTTTGGTAAATGTCTAGATGATGGTNGGATCGAAAGAGGGTGGTCACTTGAACAAAACCCGATAACCTAACCTAACCTACCCTATTGATAAAGCTATTTAAATAATGTTTTATATAACTTTCTTAATATTTTTATGTATTTTTCATTGGTTTTACCTTTGAATATTGTTTAAGAATGACTATAAATATTTACATGCCAAGAAATGTCTAAAAATTGGCATATTTATTAACTTTGAACCCCCATAACTTTTTATGGGGGTGAGACCGCCACGACCTTTTTATGGTACAGCGGTGGGGGAGACCTCCTCTTTCGATCCCTTCACCCCCACCCCTTCGGGAGTGTTGGTCATCATCCAGACCTTTATATGTATTTTTCCATTAGTTTTACCTTTGAATATTGTTTAAGAATGACTATATAAATATTTAAATGCCTAGAAATGTCTAAAAATTGGCATATTTATTAACTTTGAACCCCCATAACTTTTTGTGGGGGTGAGACCGCCACGAACTTTTTATGGTACAGGGGTGTTGGAGACCTCCTCTTTCGATCCCCCCCACCCCCATCTCATCATTTAGACCTTTACCCTTTTACCCTTTTTTTTTATTTAAACATGTTTGATTTGTTGAATACGTTTTGGCTTTTTTATTTTCATTATTTTGCTGGTTCAGGTCGATTTTGCATTACAATTAGTTTATTCGGATAATCTGACACTGTTTTATTTATTGTAATTCTTTTAGACATGGGTCCGGAGTATATTACAAATGTGACCTATCGGTTAGCTACAGGACTAAGTACAAATACAAATTATACATTTTATATTCGTCTCTATCAGACGTCTGCAAGCGACCAATCGGAAAATGTCACATGCCGTACTGGTAAGCCATGTAACTTCTTGTCATTATTCACATTCTGATTTATTATAGTCTAAGTAACAGTTAGTGTTTTGCACTGTAATTGTAAGAACAATACATAAATAGGTCCTTATAAATAAAGTATAACTAGGTAGTATCTACTTATTAAAGTTTACACACGCGTACACGACAACTATGTGTGCTCTCTTTCGGCTTAGAAGAGAGGTAATAAACGCAGTGTACATGCCCACGAGAGGTAGGAAATGTAAGTCGTGTTCGTTACATTTTTTTGTGCGCATGTTCACGATTTTTCACATACGCAATGAAGATAATTAGTTAAACGCATGCGTTCTTATGCGTTTAACTAATTTTCTTTATTGCGCATGTGCAAAATCGTGGACATGCGCACAAAAAAATGTAACGAACACGACTGTTTACTTCTGCCTCATCGTAAAGTGAGCGCGAGCAATCTTATACCACACAGTTTTGTCATAGTGGACGAAGACAAGGAAATTAATAGGTAGTTTTAAATAAAATCATTTTGGTCTCTATCTGCCGCCATTTATATTTGAGAGATACTGTTAATTGAAATTAACGTTTTCGAGGTAATTTTGAATAAAGGCAGAAAACCATTTGCTTTCAATGGTTAAAATCCAAATATATATGAAGTACAAAAAAAAGTTTCGACCTGCGTTGAAATTTGATAGTTAGCACCTACGTATATTAAAATGATTTTATAATCTTTAATACAACTTTGTAAAGATGTAGATTTTTATTTGAATTAAGTTTTGGGTTAGCTCAGTGTCTTTGATATACGTATACTTATGTGCTAGCTAGGTGTGTTTTAATGTTTGAGTAGAAACTACTTTTAAAATATAAAAACGTTTTCTCCATTCGCCGTGTTTTTTATTTGTGGCTTGTTTTACACAGAAAAAGTTGGAAATCGTATGTTAAACGTTAAAGCACTATCGTACAACTGTGTTGAGTTAACGTGGAACGAAGTAAATACTGATATACAGTGTGGTCAAAATTATGCGTCTTATAAGGTGCAATGGAAGGACGTCGACCAATTACATTCATACATCAAGTTTACAAACACCAGGAAAATGATAATTAGTGGTAAGTTGATATTCATTACATATTTCATTTCATTTCATTTATTTGGAATTTTTAATAGTTTATATACTGTCCCAGTTTTTTCACAAGATATCACCAAAAATTCTTTATTTGTAGCATTCTCATTAAAGGTTTTCATAGTCGGAATTATCTGTAGAGGGCTCGACATCCAAATTTGATATCTTTGGTCTAAAATTGGAGTTGTTTGTTCGGACGTTTCCCCAGCTGCTCTAATTGGCATCTTCAGAGACTGTAGTGAGGATGTACTGAGACTAATGTTAGTAAATCGCTAAGTTCCTTGAGGATGTTATTCACAGCTGTTGGCGAAACGTTGGATAAACGACTTCATCCAGATCCATTTCAAAATAAAAACTAATCTTGAATCATGACCATGAAACGCCAATATCGAGCCCTGTTCACATTTTGACTAGTACACTAATTTGACTGATCAACTATATATTTTCCATTAATTAACTTGTTTTTTCTCAGGTTTATTGCATGGGAAGACGTACAGATTTCGAGTTCCTTCAAAAAATTCGTCTGACCAAACCACGTCAGTTACTTACAATCTGTCTCAAGAAAATTTGGTCGGTAACGATGAATGTCACATAAATTCATCCTCGAACTTAATGAAAGTTGAAGCTATGGAACCATCTAGCGTTAATTTGACTTGGTCGCCTGAAAAAGAAACAGAAATAGATTTTTTCGACGTCTGCTTTCAGGAAGCTCAAAAAGAAAAGGAACTTGAACCTCCGAAAAGAAAGTGTTTTGAGAGGTTAAAAAGGAATTTTTCATGATGTTATTAGAAATTTAATGCATTCTTTTATAGTAAAGGAACTCATTTAAATATTACGGATCTTAAACCCGGGACTTTCTACACCTTTAGTTTGCAAACTAATTATAAAAACGGTACCTCATCTACTACTCCCTATTTAACTGAAGTACAAACAGCTACAGATGGTAAGTAATTTTTAATGTATTTTCTTTTTAGGTGCAGAATTAATTTTTACTCTATATCCCATAATTTCATGGCTACTTGTTAAATAGTGGCACACTAATAAAAGAAATTGTCATTATTTAAGTGCTCTGATAATAATTTTTTTTAGTACCTTCCGTTGTGCAAAAACTACATTATAAGATTTTATCATTAAATTCCGCTTGTATTACGTTCAAACCACCACTGAAAGAGAAAGAAAAGATAATCGGTTATCTTCTTTCCTATACACCAAACGAAGACTGGCAATATGAACAGTGGCAGAAAATTAATATTACATTAAACGATTTCGAACAAAATCAGGTAAAATTCAGATCTTTTAGGATTATCCCAAAAGATTTTAAAATCTAATCGTTTCTTCTTTTTAATAGCAATGTGTAGTAGAAGATAACGAAACGTTGTCGTTTGTTTTGAACAATTTGAATCCTGAATTGCAATATGTAATCATTGTTCAACCCTTTAGTGCAGTATCCACTGGAAACCCAGCTTTACCTCTTACATTCTCCACCAAAGAATTGAGTACAAATATTAGTCTACCTGAAAATACTAATCAGGTCGATTTGCGTTACAAACAAAAATTAGGTAAGTAGTCCATCTTTTATAAAAAAAAAAAAACGCAGTAGACACTCGATAGTGTGAATAACCGTAGTGGTAAATCACACAGGGAAATACGATATTACAACATCGCATTCGATCAGCTGATATTGTATTCTTTTGTATTTTTTTACTCATGCATTTTCTAGATTAAGTTCAGTGTAATTGACTATGTCTATTTTACATCCAGTCTGTAGCAATTCTTTGTCCTTTTAACGCTATAAGCTTATGTCTATGCAGTTAGTCGAAGTCATTCGCAGAGTGTCGGTGTCATAGGTCAGTGTAGAATGCGTGAGCTTCTAGACAGTTTCCTAGACGCCAGATTGGACATACGGGTTCTATGCCTCGGCCGGCGCGTACTGTGTGTGATCGCTGCAAATGAAGTACGCTAAATGCTTTTCGTAGTGTACGTGTGTTTAATGGTGTAATTATTTTTTTCTAATGGTACTGCATCTACGAGCGATGATGTAACATAGACGGTCAATGGATATTTGTTTTTGTAACAGAAGGTTTTCTTCAGGGTATACGGCGGTCTAGCATAATTAACACACTAATCGGATTATGCGGAGTTTCCTTCATGCGAGGTTCACATTATCGAGCATTTACTGTATTTTTATATATGCTATATTATAAATTATATTGGTGAATTAGAGAATTGATCACGAATTGACTGATTTTATTAATGTTTTAATTAGGTATAGCACTAGGAGTGTCTATTTCATTATTGTGTATCTTGTGCTGTTCGAGTTACATGCTATTGAGGAAGAAGTGCGTTAAAAGGGAAACGACGATACGAGCTCAGCATGTACGAACCAATTATTTACCTGTAGGTATGACCACATTACCCAGTGCACATCCCAGAAGTGGTGAAGTTTGCACAGCTGAAGCTCATGAAATGCAAGTGCTTATGTCTGATGATTCTATTTTAGGAGACATACCGTCAGATTCTTTGGCTCACATCGATACAAAGGTAGGGTTTTTAAAATTTTTTTCAAACGTCTCCAATTCAACATTAATTTGTGTTGCACGACTGCATTTTTTTTTTAATTTAAGGGTGGGGTTGGTTTTCCCAATTGTAAAGTGAATGGAATCATCAAAGATGCAAAAGTTAATGGCATGGTTCACATCACAGAAAATCCACGTGTAAGTTTACTTTTTCATCTCTATCCTTTGATATTTTAGGGTAGAACAAAATATTTAATTATATTTGAATAAGTATGTTTGGTTAGTAGACAACGTTGTTGTTTTATATTTTGATTATTTATTTTAAGTTTCAAATTTTACTGATAGTGATCGCTGAAATACAGATTTTTTTTAGTTCAAGTACTTGGCTTCGAATGGTCACGCAGTTGTCGAAAGTTGCAATGAACAAAACGGAAATGGACCATCAACAATAACGTCTCCACCGTCTATCATCAACGGTGTTGAGAATACGAACACAAACGCTTCGGCAACGAACGGGGGTTCGTTTAAATCGAAAATGAAAACGAATGTATCTAAGAAAGATCTTTTAAAACTTTCTGATTACAATTCAAACAACGAAATCTCGACATCTAGTGCAAAATTCCTCGATGATGAAGACGCTTCATTGAACAGCACTGCGATAACATACCTGGATGATTCGACTTCTTCTGTGCCACCTGGAAGGAGAATATCATCTATTCTAGGCCCAAACGGCTGACAATTGGCGTATTAGACGGTAAAAAAATTTTAGTGTCCGATTACAGGAAGTACAACTCAAATAATATTTTAATAAAAAACACCAAACCAAATAAAAAAAATACAAAACAAACAAACAAAAATGACACCCGTTGCTGATTGCAACGTTCCCAAAGATGTCGGATGAACCACATTTTTTTGCAATCAGCTCTAATTTTAAATAAATGCATAGTAAGATTTTTCTTACAACACTTTGGCAAGGATGGTACGGAGAAACACATATTCAATTGCATCATCCGGGTTTTTATTTTTATTGTTATGTTTATTTTATTTCCCAGGACAATTTAGCTCGTACCGTACAATCCTTGCCAAGTAATTTATTTCTAGGACTCAAACATGTACAAACATTAACGTCCTCGATAAAATCGCGAGGAGAATACTACATTACAAACTACACAGTTTAATATGCAGCAGAATTGAACCCCAAAAATAATTTATTATTAGTGTAGTTTTTAGGGTAATGATAAACGTACATACATAAAATATGCTTGAGCTTGAAGGTATTACAGATGATGAATGATGTGTAATTTGAATTGAAAATTGTGAAGCAAGATGCAGAGTAATTTTCTTAATAAATGGTCACCGGTTAAAAAAATATAATGAAAATAGCAGATGTTTGTTAGGGTTGAAAACACATAATAGATTATTTACGATTTATGCTGCCCAGATATGTATGTGAACACAGTAACTTATTTTTTGTTTGCGTCCGTTTTTCGTTGTTGATGTTTAGAATTTTTTTATACCGACAATTATTAATTCTCAAAATTGAAAGGACAAGGGTCCAGAACATTCATGTCTTGAACAAATTTGAGCAGTTACAGGTAATTTTCGTTATTCTCTTCGTTCTTTAACTGGTACACGTTTTTATATATATATATA